TTTTTTCCCCCAAGGCTAAAAACATAAATACAGTATTTTTTTGTCTAAAGATTCTATTTTATTGTATAGAACTTGGAAAACCCTTTTTCAAAAGTATTAACTTGGATATTAGTACTTTTCCAGGGAGAATTTTTTAAAAAGTCAAAACTGGTCTGCTGAATTTCCCATATTACAAGTCATTTGTTCTCTGTGCTTAGCAAATATTAATTAGTTCTGACATTATTATTAGCTGGAGAGAGAGAGAGAGAGAGAGAGAGAGAGAGAGAGAGAGAGAGAGAGAGAGAGAGAGAGAGAGAGAGAGAATCCAATCTTATGGTAAAAGCAAAGTCTAGAGAGCTAGCTGAACCTGAAGTTCTAACAGACCCATTGGGTGACCTCGACTCATGTCTTTGTCCTAGGGGCTCCAGGGTGATAGATCATAGATCTAATGCTGGAAGAGATCTCAGTGGTCCTCTTGCCCATCAGTAAGCATTTTTTAAGCATTTACTATGTACCAGGCAGCTAGGTGGCCCAGATAAGGGAGTGCTGGGACTGGAGTTAGGAAGACTTATCTTCCTGAGTTCAAATCTACCCCTAGACACTTAGTAGATGTATGACCCTGGGCAAGTCACTTAACCCTGTTTGCTTCAGTTCCTTCATCTGTAAAATGAACTGGAGAAGGAAATGACAAACCACTCCAGTATCTTTGCCAAGAAAATCCCAAATGGGGCCATAAGGAGTTGGACACAAATAAGCAACAAAAATTTTGGCCACTGCATGGCCTGGTAGTCAAAATGAGCACCTTCATTAGGGCTATCTTCACCTTATCACTGAGATCTCTGCCCTTTTAATTTAATATGTGTTGAAGTTCAAAAATATTATTATTTGTGAGCCATGTAGTTCTCCAGAGTATCATGAAGATGATAAAGGCCTTGGCCCTGTACAGAGCTTTTACCTGTGAAGATGGTCAGATAAACACAAAGGCCTAGATAAGGACAAAAGATTATTAATGTTACGGGGGGAGTAGTCCACTAGGGTTCAGCGTCCAGAACAGGGCCTTGCCCATGGCAAACTCTTAATAAATAGTTGCTGAATTTAATTAAATTTAGAAAGCAATGTGGCACATTGGGTGGAGTGCTGGCTTTGGAGTCAAAGGACTTGAGTTTGAATCCTGCCTCTGTCACCTACTACCTGGGTGACCTTGGGGACTCCATGGGCCTCAGTTTCCTCATCTGTTAGATGAAGAGGCTGAACTAGCTCAGCAGTGTCAGACACATGGCCTGCAAGCCCATGAAGCTAACAACACTCTTGAGGGTGGCCTGAGCCCAGTTAAAATGTAATTGGGAAATAACAAAATAAATAAAATACAATATGACAGTGTTGATTTTGTGGTTTTCTAAGTCAGTATGCACCCCCAGGGATCTTTATGAGTGGTCTAGTAGCTTCCATTTCTTTTTGACTTTGACATCACTGATCTATGGCTTCTGAGGTCCCTACTATTTTTTTTTTAATCAACTGGGAAAATCTCACTACCTTAGGGAAACCCAAGTTCTAGACCTCGTTCTGTTATTCCTATGAGGAGCTTTGAACTAGGAGATGGAAGGTCTGAGTCCTGCTCTTGGCTCTTCCACACACTGGCCCTGTTGGCTTTGATTAAGTCATTTAAGTGAGGCATCAGTGAGGCTGCCTCAGTGGCAAACTGCTGATAATATCTTCCCAGCCTGCCTTACAGAAAATGGGGAAATATGCCAACAGCTCTTTGGAAATCATATAGATTTACTGTAAAGATAGCAGAGCACAGGAACAGAGCAGAACGATCTTGGGCAAAACACCTTTCTCATATTTTTCCCTTAATAAAATAACAAAAACAACAACAGTCACACATTCACCAACTCCTTCCTCACATAGAAGCTTTCCCCACTGAAAGCAAGTTGTCAGTTGGACTTGGTAAGTGTAAAATTCTTTTTTTTTTTTTGATAAGTGTAACATTCTTAATGTATGCTAAGGAAAGACAGATGCAGAAAGTTTTGGGCCTGAATCTATAGGTCACATTGAATCAGTGGATGAAGGCAAGCCATAAATAACTTGGTCTTCTTCAAACAAGACATAGGGAACATAAAGATATTAATGCGAATGCTGTAGCTAAATGTTAAGAGACTTACTGGCATCCTGAAATTAAAGCCTAATGGGGAGAGCATATTTAAAGCAGTTAACACCTCTACAATATTAATGTATACTTTTTTTTTTTTGGTTAGGCAGTGGGGTTAAGTGATTTGCCCAGGGTCACACAGCTACTAAGTGTTATGTGTGTCTGAGGCCAGATTTGAACTCAGGTCCTCCTGAATCCAGGGCCGGTGCTTTATCTACTGCGCTAATGTATATTTTTGGAATTGTTCAGATGGACCATAGCTGATTTCAAAAGTGCCCTAACAAAAACCTGTAGAACATTAATGAACTATAGGACCCATTAGCCTAAGGCAGCCAGATCAAAGGAAGATGATGGATAGACATTCTTAGAGAACGTGTCAGACAGGTCCAAAATCTACAGAAATGCTTCTGGAATGAAGAGACATCAGTTCAACAAGAAAGACTAGAAGCTGATAGTGAGCATACCTGAAGGGCAGTGGGGAGACGCCTGGTGGGTATACGTACATCCATTGGTGGTTTTGCCCAATATCGCTGAAATTGGCTTGCCTCTGGTTGGAGCCTGTGAAGCAGCTGAGATCCAAGAATCAAATCAACAGATCCTCCATGGGCGACATCCATATGAGCTTGACCAACAATGTTTTGACAAAGAATATTTAACATGTGACTGACGTGGATTTATCTGAGGAAACAGAAGTTTATGATGACGATTCAGAACTAGGTCATTGATACCAGAAACTACAGAAGGTTATTTCTTTATATTTTTTAAAGAGACTGGATTTAGTGATCAATGTAGATTATGCAGGGAAACAGTAGAGAGAGTGCATTTACTGTCCACCTCATAAAGCCTGGTGTCTGGGATTATACATCAGAAGTTCCCTAAATTTTATGGACAGACTCCAGTGCTACAAATACAGACCTCTGGAGAGCTCAACCAATAAGACAGTTACCATAGACCAAACAATTGTCCACAATTTCCTTGTTGTGATACTGGATGCTTAAGGACAACATTTTGTAATGGATGTCTCCGTCCTAGACAAGACTCATAATCTTCAAGCTACTCGAAAGAAAAAGCTTTATGAGCCCAGCATGTAGACTGCCCATCTGTTACCTCGCTGTTTTGCTACAAGACTGAGCAGACTACCTCTGTCTCTCATAACTTTCATGCCAGTCCTAATGTGCGATTTTTGGATAACATGCTGAACACAATTGTTGACCACCTTTGTCTCTTCACTGCCCTGAAGGAGACCAGCAACTTGAATTCTTTATAGTCTGTGGTATCCCATGATCCCATCCTGTAATTGTCATATTAATGATAAATGATGCAACTTATCATTAATATAATAAATTTAGCAATACCATGTAGGTCTTCTTAAAATAACCACATTAATTATATATAATATAGTATCATAATAATTCAGCATTGCAAAGTAAATAAGTATGATACTTGTAAGGATTTTTAATTAGTATTTTTATGTCACAGCTGAAGGGACTGGTTTGGGGCTTAATTGAAGAAGGGCCAAATGAGAATCCTTTTCCCAGTACCTGCATCATGCATAATCTCTCTTTCTGTGCAGCCCTCATCTGGAACATTGGGGATGCAGTCTCTGCGGTAGTCATTATTGGATTCTTTGGTAAACACACTCCGTCACTGCCTACTAAATGTGTGGGAATTCCAGAGCGCTGCCCTGATGCATCAGTTCTAAGGCTCACTGCAGGAGGAAAGGAAATTAAAGCTATTTATCAAAGAGCATTTTCCCCTTGATGGGAAAAGTGAACATTAACGCAACAAGTGATGGCATGCAGGCCAAGAAAACATTTTGATAAACAGACGTAGAGGGGATTGTATTTCCTTCGCCTTCTCCCCTGGAAGAGGAAGTGTAAGGGAACCCATATAGAATCAGCCACCAGGCATGTGTTGCAACAGTGACCTTGTTGACTGGGTGTGCTCTATAAGCTGAGGATGGGCTCTTGGTGATGTGGAGGGGCCTTTTGCTCATGTAGGACATTATCGCTTTATGTGCTTCTTAATGTGAGTATGTATTTTATTAATAATAATAGCTGTTCAGTCGTGTCCCACTCTTCATGACACCATTTTGGGGTTTTCTTGGCAGAGATACTGGAGTGGTTTGCCATCTCATTCTCTAGCTCATTTTACAGATGAGTAAACTGAGGCAAACAGGTTAAGTGACTTGCCCAGGGTCACATAGCTAGAAAGTATCTGAGGCCAGATTTGAACTCAGGAAGATGATTCTTCCTGGCTCCAGGTGCAGCACTCTATCCACTGAGCCAGATGCCTAATGCTAATGATAGCTAGGTTTATATAGAGCTTTAAGATTTGAAAATTTTAGATAGCACTTTAAGGCTTATTTATTAATTTATTTATAGTACTTTAAGGTGTTATTTGATCCTCAGAATAGATCTGGGAGGTAGGTGCTGTTATTATCCCAAAATGAAGTCACTTGCCCAAGGAAACACAGCGAATAAGTTCCTGAGGCTGGATTTGAACTCAGGTCTTCCTGACTCCAGACCCAGCACTCTATCCATTGCACCCCCCTCATTGCCAATATTCCCCACCTGATTTCAAATAGAAACACATTCGAGCAATAGTTTAATCACTGTTTCATGGCTTTCTCACCTGGAGTTTCAAAAGGAAGCTGAGAATGGCATGTCCTCTATTCTTGCTGACTCTTCTCTTTGACAAACGTTCCCCTTCTTGATTTTGTTTGTGACTGGACTTCGTGCCCTTACAGGGCACCGTGGATATAGTGGGAGATTTGTAAGTCACCTCTTTCTATGTCTCTGGGGAAAACACCATCTTACTCCCTGTAATTGTATCTGTAATCTGGCTGTTTTGTGGCTGTGTCTCATTTCAGAGATCCCAGAAGATCCCTTAGAAGCTGAAGAGTATTATGTGGATGTCTTTGATTCCTGTTCGGAAGCAAGTGAGGAGAATCAGATAGAAGAGATGCTAGAAGAGGAGGAGGAGGAGGAGGAAGAGGAGGAGGAAGAGGAGGAGGAAGAGGAGGGGGAGGAAGAAGTAGCAGACAGCACTTTTAGGACCAGTCATCAGGTATGTGTTGTCCTTGGAACAGTCAAAATCTCCAGTTTTTCTGTTACTCTCCCAAGAGACTAAAGGTGGCTCAGCCCTGAGTCATTGGGATGTGATTTACAAGAGCTCCATCCAAAGCAAGGGGAAAACTCCCTTCTCATCTCTTGCCTGGACTGTTGCAATAATCTTCTGGTTGGTTTTCTCCTTCCTGTCTGCTCCAATCCACGTTCTGCCCAGGTCCCCAGTTAAAAGCAGCCCGGCTGATAGAGTGGATAGAGCTCTGAACCTGGCATTAGGGACACCTACAATCAAATTCAGCTTCAGATTCAAACTTGTTCAGACACTTACTAGCTGTGTGACCCTGGGCAAGTCACTTAACCCTGTTTGCCTCAGTTTCTGTAAAATGAGCTAGAGAAGGACATGGCAAACCACTCCAGTATCTTTGCCAAGAAAACCCCATATGGGGTCATGAAGAGTCGGACGTGACTGACAAATGACTGATCAACAACAAAATGACGTCTGAAGCTCTTCACAGTTTTCCTCTGGTCTCCTTTCTCAGGTTTATTTCAAATTGTTCCCTTTTATACCGCACTCTCTGTTCAAGTGAAACTGATCCATTTACTATTCCTGGAACTGAACAGTCCCACCTCCTTGCCTTTGCCTAGGCTGTCCCTCATGCCTAGAATGCATTCCCTCCTCACCTGCCCCTCTCAGCATCCTCATCTTACTCTTTAGGGTTCAACTCAGGTGTTCCCTCCTTTCCTGATGCCCCTAATTGTCAGTGTTCTCTCTCTCCTCAAATTCTGTCTTATTTATTTATGTATTTAAATGCTGCAACACCCCACCCCGCCCCACACACACACACACACACACACACACACACACACACACATACACACACACACACACTCTCTCTCTCTCTCTCTCTCTCTCTCTCTCTCTCTCTCTCTCTCTCTCTCTCCCTTTCTCTCTCTCTCCTCTCCTCTCCCTTTCTCTCTCTCCTCTCCTCTCTCCTCTCCTTCCTCCTCTCCTCTCCTCTCCTCTCCTCTCCTCTCCTCTCCTCTCCTCTCCTCTCCTCTCCTCTCCTCTCCTCTCCTCTCCTCTCCTCTCCTTCCTCTTCCTCTCCTCTCCTCTCCTCTCCTCTCCTCTCCTCTCCCTCTCTCTCCTCTCCTCCTCTCCTCTCCTCTCCTCTCCTCTCCTCTCCTCTCCTCTCCTCTCCTCTCCTCTCCTCTCCTCTCCTCTCCTCTCTCTCCTCTCCTCTCCTCTCCTCTCCTCTCTCCTCTCTCTCTCTCTCTTCTTCTCTCTCTCTCTTCTCTCTCTCTCTCTCTCTCCAGCAGATTGTAACCTCCATGAAGGAAGGGACTGTTTTTATCTTGTCTTTGTATCCTAGCATCCTGCACAGGGCAGGTGCTTAATAAATGCTGGTCGAATGAATGTCAGTCAGTTCTACAGACTAGACACCCAACCAATCTGTACTCTCACAGACACTTGTTCCTAAGACAGGGAAGGATTTTGCTTAGGAAAAAGTAGGTGATCAGAGAAAAAAGACTTTTATCGAGTTTCTATACCTCCTTGCGTTTGGAGGCTGAAACCATCAACTCCTCGCACCCCAAGCACCATGTTGTCAGTGGCTGCAGAGAAAAGTGAGTCAATAAATAACCTTTTATTTTGATTGGAGGCCTTCGGCCCACACAGAAGAAGGCTCAACTAAGAGCCATAGAAGTAAAAGTATACTTTTTGGGGAGGAAGGAAAGGAATTTTGTATTTTAGAGGGGAAGTTAAAACATTCCACTCCTGTTTTAAAAACTAAGAGCAGGGGACTTAACTCCAGGACTTGAAGTCAGAAGGCCCCACCCAGCTCTGACTATAGCTGTAATAAGCATGTGAGCAAAGTCAGGCAAGGGCTCTAAGCCTTTCTCATTCTGGAAAATAAAGGAGTCAGACTAAATCATCCCTAAGACCCCTTTAAGCTCAATTCCACTGACCCCTGGACTTCCTCATTTGTAAAGAAGGGGATTATAACCCTTGTACTTCCCCCCTTACAAATTATGAAGAGAGTGCTTTAAACAATGAAATACAACTAATAATAGCTAGTATTTAAATAGCATTAGTGGTCTGCAAACACTCTACTCATCTCATTTGGTAAAGGATAAACCATATGGAGTAAACTCTAAGTGTGAGCTATAATAATATTAATTACTATTATTATTAATGGTACTGAATGATAAAGAGTGAAAGATTTTTATTATGGACAGTTCAAGGAGAGAGACAAAGAAGGAGAGTTTGAGAGAGAAAAAGGAGGGAATGGAGATCAAGAGATGAAGAAAAAACAGTTAGAAAGTCCAAGAGCTACACATATAGAGACAGTCATTGAGTCAGTAGGCATTTATTAAGCACCTACTATGTGTCAGGGTGACAACTAGGTGGTGCAGTGGATAAAATGCCAGGCCTGGAGTCAGGAAGACCTGAGTTCAAATCCAGCCTCAGACACTTATTAGCTGTGTGACCCTGGGCAAGTCACTCAACCCCTACCTGCATAAAAAGCTGGAGAAGGAAATAGTAAACCTCTTCAGTATCTTTGCCAAGAAAACCCATGGCCAGTATTGGGGTGTTTGGTCCACGGGGCCACGAAAAGTCAGATGTGACTGACCAACAGCGAAACATACCAAGCACTGTGATTAATGCAGGGGATGCAAGGAAAGGCGAAGAGCATTCCCAGCTTTCGAGGGGCTCACAGTGAAACAGGAGAGACAATATTTCGTTGTTGTTCAGTTGTTTTCAGTCATGTCAGACTCTTTATGACCCCATCTGGGATTTTCTTGGCAGAGATATTGGAGTGGTTTGCCATTTCCTTCTCCAGCTCATTTGACAGATGAGGAAACTGAGGCAAACAGGGTGAAATGACTTGCCCAGGGTCATATAGCTAGTAAGTGTCAGAGGCCAGATTTGAACTCAGGTCCTCCTGACTCCAGGCCCATGCTCTATCCACTGTGCTACCTAGCACTCCATCACAAACCATTACAATAGTTTTAAGAATGTGATCTTTGAAATACGTAATCACTGAATCGAAACGAGTCCTACAGCCTCTTTGGAGTACAACATTTGTAGCTGTCACCACGGTGGTATGCTTTACCATTGCAAGTGTTGGGGGTGGGGAAGGAAGAGCCTGTCACTGAAATAGTTTTTCTCCGTTCTTATCGACGTTGGATGGTGCTTCAGCTTGACAAATGTTTGCATACAGTCTCTAGTCATCTTTCGATTGCATTGTTTGTCTTTTTTTTCCTGAGTGAAACAAATGTTTTAGGTATAGCATCAAACCTTGTGGTATGACCCATTTGGGAGTAGGTGCTGTTCAATGAGTGCCTTTTGAGTGGGCCATTTGGGACTGTGGTGTTTGTTCTTGCTATGAGGAAGGGCTCCCAGGGTACACTTCCCCAATTCTCTTTCTCTCCCTCTCTTTTCTTTTTTTTAAACTCAGAGGGAATCCTGACCAGCTGAAGGCTTTGTCATCACTAACATCTTAGTGGCTTTGGAATCCCTTTGCATGCTGATGTAGTGAGGGAGTAAAGCTTATGACAGAGTCTCTCTGAAATAGATTTGGGGAACATAGGCTCACAATCGAGGTTTAATGGGGGTCACAAGGAATTTTTAACCCCGAGTCTGAGACCACGGACCTTGAATCAGTACTAGACATACAGCAGTCAACAAACAGACTTAATCTTAGCCTGAGTCATTCTGGTTGCTTTTCTTAGCAATCATTTAGGAAGTAACAGTGGCTAAAAAGTCTCTCTATGACATTTGTACGTTTCCCTGTGGTCTACCACAGCCACACAGGGGGCTAACACTAACAAGTTGAATGCCTTAGGTTCGGATTAGGTTCATATGTTACCCTTTTCTAGTATTGACTCAAGGTCCATGATCCCAAACAATTATCTGACTTAGGATAGAAAATTCCCATCAAACCCTAGATTATGAATCTATGTCTCCCAAACCTGTTTTGAAGAACCCTATCTTGTCCCCCCCCAAAACAAACAAACAAAAAAACCCAACTTGCCAGCTTGCCAGATCTGTGTAGAGGCTGGAGGCATGAAGTCCACCTCAGTTCACAAGATCCTCTTTTAATTGACATGCAAATGAAAAATAAAAGGCTGGGTGAAGCACTGATCCACACTCTTACATTTGTTATGCACACTTACTGGCAACAAAACCCTTCACTTTGGTTCTGTATTTCGACCTTGTGATCTGTCTATCTTGAATCATTGCAAACTAGGTTAGAAGGACCAGGAGGTGATATTGTGCCTGAAATAATGATGCGAAAATAGACAGATGGAGTCTGTGATTTCCATAGCCTAAGAAACAATGAACGATTTTTGCATTAAATCTTGAAAGGTCATTTGTGTCTTTTACTACAGTAATTGGACTACTGCCTTGTCACAACAATAATTATCCATCCATCCTCCTAATGCCTTTGCATGCATTATCTACAAAAGGAGAACCAGAGTGCACAGCACTTCCAGGGATGCTTGGGTGATAGGAGTTGAAAATAAGATGATGTCTGGAACACCTGCATAAACTGTAAAAATGCTACGCAAATGTAAGTCCCTACTATTAACTGAAGAGAGACCAGGCTGATTCACGCTCCTGAGAGAGGGCTGACTTATGGGGTGAAGTGTAAACGATCTCTCCACAATCCCCAAATAACTAACTGAAAGCCTGTCAACATGGTCCAGTGTATGAGAAAGCCTCCTGCTCTCCCCTCAAGCTCAGACACCTTCCTGCTACCCATAGCTTGGCTCCCCCTGGCACCCTTACCAGACTGAGGTCAGTCCCGTCCCTATCGGAAATTTCTGTGTTGTTCTGTTCTTCTGTTAGGTACTTCTCCAGTAATTTGCTATATTCTTCTAGTTCCTCCCTGTTAGGAGATGATTGTGGCTTAATGTAGTTGCCCTTGGCAGTTTATAGTGGGTCATAAAGAATTCTTATAAAGTCAGTCCCAATGATTTTTTGGCAGGGAGGAGGCG